GGCCATTTAACAAAGGTCTGTTCCTCTACTAAGCTGTGAACTCCGTGAGGTCAGGGTTGGTGTTTGCCTCTCCGTTGTATTCCAGCGCCCAGCCTCCTACCTGGGACACAGTGGATAGTAAATACTGTGGAATGAAAGAATAAGTTCATTGGTTCACCCACATTTTTGGAGCTGTGTTCAGTGGAGGAAATGAGGAACAGAATGGCTGGATGGCTTCTGTGGGTCAGCCTTTCTTTTGAGAACACAGTTAGTGTTAGTATCTTACTGATGCTGTAACAAGTTACCCCAAATGTAGTGACTTAAGAGCATACATTGATTCCCTTCTAGTTCTTCTAGTTCTAGAGGTCAGAAGTCAGATATGGGTTCTACAAGGCCAGAATCAAGGGGTTGGCAGGGCTGTATGCGTTCCTTCTTGGGACCAAGGGGAGCATGTTTCCTGGTCTTTTCAAGCTTCTGGAGACTGCACACATACCCTGGGTCATGATCCCTGCCTCTGTCTTCAGAGCACAGCACTCCAAACTCCGCTTCTGTCTTGACATCTCCTTCCTGAACTCCAACCCTCTCTGATAAGGAGTCTTCGCAATGACCTCAATCCCAATCTGGATAATATAGTATAATTCCTTCCATCTCAAGAGTCTTCAATCAGTCCCGTGTGCACAGTCCCTCCTGGAAGGCGTTCTTGGGCTCATTTYCTTAGGCTGAGATGGATCCTAACTGGAAAGTTAATAGCATAGTCTCAAGAGGGTGGAGGTGGTCTTGCTCACTGAAGTAAAGAGACCTATCAAAAGTATTTTAGGGAGGCTGATTCTTGGGTAAAAGGCTGTGGATATTGTGCAGACGGGCTGGGGGTGAACAAATCTGCTTCTGGGGGAGGGCGGGGGGCGGGGACTAGGCTTCAGTTGCTCCAGTAGAGCACACCTTACTTGGCCTTCCAGGCTGAGGTTCAATTTTTAATAAAAGTTGCAAATGAGTTTTATTCTGTAGTGAGCTCCCTCAAGAAGTAATTAATATCTATAAATTCCTAGAAAACCTAGAAGGATGTAGTGCTTGCCTCAGAATGAATAAAGGGAGAAGGGGAGGCCTGAGCCACACCCCCTGGGTGTATTTGCTATTTGGAGAGTGGAGGAAGCCTACTGTGGGGCAAGGCAGGGGCTGGAGGGGAGGAATATGGGTTCCCAGCAGGCAGCCTGGACCCCCAACAGTTCCAAGCACTTCACAAAGGGAGGAAAGTGCCCTCCTTCTGACATCAGCAAATCAAGGGCAAAGCCGGCTCTCCCACCTTCTAGCTCCCCACTGGGTCCAAGGGATAGAATATTTGACTCTCAAAGGGAGGGTAGCTCTCGGGTTAAGACCAGATTCATCCACCAAGGAATTTATTCAGCGTCTCTTATGTGCCTGGCCCTGTACCTACCTGCCTCTGTGGTTTAGTGGTGGTTCCTACTGATTTGTGGTCACGCAGGAGAGACAGACAATGAGCAAGGACATCAGCCCCTCAGTATCAGAAGTCGAGGGGTCCCAGGGCCTTCTGCAGATATGAAAATCTGCCTAGGTTCAAACCCCTTATGTAAAGTGGTATAATATTTGCAAACAACCCCCAGGCATCTAGTTGATCTCTAAATAACTTACAATACCTAATACAAGGTGAATGGTTGCCGTGCTGTTTAGGAAATAATGAGAAACAGGACAAGCACGGTATAAAAACTATTTTTGATCTGAAGTTGATTGAGGRTGCAGGACCTTGTGGGTGTGGAGGATGATGGTCAAGGAACACAGAAAATGATGGTCCCTTATGATAAGGTGACAAGGCAGTGAATAGGATGTTATAACAGAGACCCTGGGTCGGGGTTGTGCGGTGTGCATTTCAGAAGAGAAGGCCAGGGAGGCCCTCTCTGAACAGGTATTATTTATGCTGAGGGGCCCAACAGCTGGGACAGAGGCTGTGGCTAAGCAAATGCTTAGGTCTGGGGCAGGCAAAAGCTTGGTGGGTTGAGAAGCTGATAGAAAGTGGGAAACAGTGGCCAAGAGAAGGATGGAACAGTGAGGAGGGAGCAGGCTCTCCAAACATACACACACACACACACACACACACACACACACACACACGGTGCCACCTTATCCACTTTAAGTGTGTAATTCAGTTGCATTAATTATATTCACTCTTTGTACAAACATCACACCTATTTCCAAAATGTTTCCATCACCCCAAATAGAAACTCTCAATTATTAAGCAATAATTCTCCCTTTCCCCCTGGCCCCCCAATCGAATCCCCCTCTAATATACTTGGTCTCTTTGAATTTGCTTATTATAAATATTTCATATAAATAGAATCGGACAATATTTGGCCTTTTGTSTATGGCTTCTTTCACTTGGCTGAATGGTTTCAAGTTCTTCTGTGCTGCAGTGCGTACATACTGCATTCCTTTTTTGTGGCCGAATAATAGTCTATTGGCTACATGTACCTCATTTGGTTTCTCCATTCATTTCTTGGTGAACCCTTGGGTTGTTTTAACCTTTTGACTGCTGTGAATAAATATCAGCATGCTAGTATGTTTGAGTCCCTGTTTTCACTGTTTTATTTAAATACCTTGAAGTAGAATTGCTGGGTCATGTAGTGATTTAGTGTTTAACTTTTAAAGGAACCACTACATTGTTTTCCACAGCAGTAGCATCATTGACATTTCTATCCGCAATGTAGGAGAGTTTTAGTTTCTCTACGTCTTTGCCAACACTTTAAAATAATTTTTTTGGATTATAGCCATCTCAGTAAGTACTATCTCATTGTAGCATTGATTTGCGTTTCCTAAATGACCTATGATGTTGAACATCTTCTTCTGGGCTGGTTTACTTACCCCTTGTATCTCTGTTCAAGCCACTTGTCCATTTTTAAATTGGTCTCTTTGTGGCTGAGTTGTAAGAGTTGTTTTTGCAATGTTCTGAATGCTAAACTTATCGGATAAATGATCTGCAAATATTTYCTCTCGTTCTGTGGTCAGTCTTTTCACTTTCTCGGTAATGTCTTTGATGCTAAAGGGGTTTTAATTTTGATGAAGTTGAATTTATCTAACTTTTTGTTGTTGTTCACGCTTTCTGTGTCATTTCCAAAAACCCATTGACAAATCTAGACTCGTGGGAACTCACATCTAAGCTTTTATTCTGTTTTCTCTCTTTTAAACATTCAGTTCTTGTCTAGATTTTAGAGGTCAGCCACTTTGGCAGGTAACGAAGCCTGTAAGCTCAGCTAGTAAGTCCCCTGTGACTACAGGGGACTCTCTGGAATGGAGAGGGAAGCAAAATCTCAACAGTGACCAGGCTGTGGTGACCTGTGCCAATCTAAAGCCAGGGTGAGGGTCATTGCTGGTTCAATGATATTTGTCCAAAATGATGAAAGAAAGTAAATTTTTCATAAAACTAGATTTATCCAATTTAAGAAACTGTCCATCATCTGGGTGGTTCCTTTTCATGCTATTAGAATCTTCTTACGACCCGAGACTGAGGCTAGATGGTGATAGTTTCTTTAAGCRGTTGCACTTGGCAGACTTAGGAGTGATCAACCTTGTGTCAGAATTCCAAGTTTAGGGGAGGCAAATAGAAAACTAAACTCTGGAGTCAAGGGTTTAGAGATCCCCACAGACACTAGGGTTTGTTTTTATTGGCCTGTGAAGCATCTCGGGATCTCTGCCTGATCCTTCTGTGGAGGGCTTCACAGGACCTTGCCCACGTTCACTATCTTCCCCAAATATCTGACCCCTTTCTGCTTTAATCATCATCTTTGTKCGAGGATTTTTTTTTAGAAATGGAGAGTGGGGCACAAAGCAAATCAAAGCTAGAAGGTTTTTGTCTGACTTCCTCTGCACAACCTCCAACCGATTCCTCTTCAAGATTTTTCCAGATGGTTTTCTTTTTTTACTTAAGGTATATAAATATCAAAAAAGAAAATAAAAAACAAGAAAGGAAAAAAAAATCCCACCCCAAAAGAGAACATTGCTTTCTCACGGGAAAGAATGCTCAGTTGTACTCGGGGAATTGAATGAAGTTGGGTTAATGAGTTCACCCTTGTAAAACATTGAAATTCTCCCAAACATACTAATTAAGGTACTTTTTGTCTTTTCTGTTGGTTTTAGCTTTGAAGATACTACAAACTTGGCATGCTGCAAAATGGAAGAGCCAAGTTTGGAAGCAATAACCTAGTCTGTACTTGGCCATCAGCCTTGCACTTGAACGGGCTCATCTACAAAGTAGTCTCCGAACTTTTTTTGATGGCACCATGACTGCGCTGCATCCTATAGTTCTGCAGTTGAATGATTTCCCCTGGAGTTGTTCAGTGCACAATCTATGCAACTATAAAAATACTCCAACAAAAATAGAAATGAGGTGTAGCTCAGTGGRTAGAGAGCTTGCCCAGCRTGCATGAGGCCCCGGGTTCCATCCCCAGCACTGAAAAAATTAATAAATAAATAAAATGAACACAGACACCTAAGAAATGTGTATGTTTTTGTAAACTGCATACATGTTCTACTGTCAATATATTTAGATGCTATATTGCTGAACATGATTTTTTGAAATAAAAATTCTATTAAAAAAGAACAGGCACAGTGGCCCACACCTATAGTCCCGGTAGATGGGGCGGCTGAGGCAGGAGGATCACAAGTTCAAAGCCAGCTTTAGCAACTCAGTGAGACCCTGTCTTTGAATAAAATACAAAAAAGGGCTGGGGATGCGGCTCAGTGTTTGAGTCTCCCTGAGTTCAATCCCCAGTACCCTGTTCCCCGCCCCCATTCTATCAAAATAGTTGAATAGCCCTTATAATAAGTTTCCTCTGTGTTGAGTGCATGGCTCTGAACACCCCTGGGGTAGGTGGTCTCACTTCCCAGACTCTGGCCCAGGAAGAATCCCACGGTCTTCTCGCACACTGGACACGGTGGCCTCCTGACAGCCGAGTGTTCCCAGGTCTGTCCCTTCCTGCCTGGACCCACGGTCGMCCGTTGGTTTTCCGTTTCAGAATACACGGTCATCAACGAAGCCTGCCCTGGAGCCGAGTGGAACATCATGTGTCGCGAGTGCTGCGAGTACGACCAGATCGAGTGCGTCTGCCCCGGGAAGAAGGAGGTGGTGGGCTACACCATCCCCTGCTGCAGGAACGAGGAGAACGAGTGTGACTCCTGCCTCATCCACCCAGGTGAGCGCCCGGCCACCAGCCCAGGTGGCCTTCGGGGTCCCGCAGGCGGCCCTCGGTGGTGCCAGGATTATTAAAAGGGACACAAGTCAGCCCGTTCTCACTACGGGCAAGGGAGTAGAGGGGTTTGTATTCTTCTCAGTGTTAACGTTGTACATCTGTGAACTCCACTGTATATACCAGGTCAGTTACCGGAAATAGAGATTAAAAAAAGAAAAGATGTGTTCTAGCATTTCCAGAACTCGGACCCTGATGGAGGAGATGGAGGACAGGCAGCTACAATACTGTGCTGTGTAAGTGCCACWCAAGTGCCATGATAGAGATGCCCAGGGGACTGTGGCAGCATGTCCCTTCCTAGAGGGAAGATCAGGGAAGACTTATTAGAAGAAGTGATGAGTACGCTGAGGATGGAAGTGACAAAATGCAAAGGGCCTAGGGCATTGGGTATAGCATGTGCCAAGACCCTGGGGCAAGAGCAAGCATGAGGTTTTAGGAACTGCAATTAGCTCGGTCTGCAATTAGGAGAAACCATGTGTGATGAGAGATGTGGAGAGAAGGAGAGAGACAGACAACAAGAGGAGAACGAAATCTGAAGGAAGAAATGGGGGGGGGGTGCAGATCCAGAAGGGTTTTGCAAGCCATGCTATGAATTTTAAGCTAAATCCTGAAGATATTTTGCTAGCTTTGGAAGTGTGTGTGTGTGTGTGTGTGTGTGTGTGTGTGTGTGTTGGGGGATGCCAGGGATTGAACCTGGGGTACTTTACCACTAAGCTACATGCCCCAAATAATATTAATAATAAGAAAAGAGAACATTTTAAAAATTTTGAAATGGGTCCTCACTAAGTTGCTGAGGTTGGCCTCAAACTCATGATCCTCCTGACTCAGCTTCCTGAGTCGCTGGGATTATAGGCTTACACTACTGCTCCTGACCAGCCTTGGAGATCTTTTAAAGAAGAGGTGGGATGTGACTTGAGGCAGGAGAGAAATAAGAGGACCTTAATAAAGGTAAAAGTCGGAGGGGTAAAGAGAGGWGGAGGGATCTGGGTCATCCTGGGTTGGCTGGGTAGAGAAGGAGAGAGGGGAAGGAAAGAGCAGAAGTCAAGGAGGACGCTCTTAGCTCTGAGTGGGACAGCTGGGAGGTGGTCCAGTCATAGGAGAGTGTCTTTGGGTGGGATGGGACCTTCCCAGGCCCTTTTGTCCCGCCCCGCCCATTTTTTGCCTTTACATAAAGCTGAACCTGACTTTTGTACCACCACTCTCTCCTGCCCCCACCATAGAGGGGACTGAGATGTTCTTTTTATTTCTTTGTTCTCTTCAGAGATACACGACAGTAGAGTGTACTTGGACATATCCGTACATGGAGTATAACTTCCCAATCTTGTGGCCGTACGTGATGTGGAGTTTCACCCGTCATGTATTCATATGTGAACATAGAAAAGTGATGTCGGATTCATTCTGCTGTCTTTCCAATTCCTATACCCCACCCTTCCCTTCATTCTCCTTGAATTTTTATTCCAATGAACTTCTATTCCCCTCTCCTSTTTTTGGGTGTTAGCATCCACAGTATCAGAGAGAACATTTAGTCTTTGGTTTTTTGGGGGATTGGCTTATTTTACTTAGCATGATAGTCTCCAGTTCCATCCATTTACTTTCAAATGCCATAATTTTAGTTTTCTTTATGGCTGTGTGATGTTCTTTTTAACGGTTGTAGATTTGATAACTGCATTGAAGTTCTCAGCTGGGTAGGGGCCAAGGTGGACTGAACGTCATAGTGCATAATGTTTTCGATGTGATTGGCAACTCACTGAGCATTTTCCTGATGCTTGAAAAGCAAGGAAATATTGCTTCCTTATGCTTCTTGCACCTCCCGTAGTCTCACCTTTCCCCATTTAGGCCAGGTCAGAAGAAGGACATTGAGATTTTCTTTTCTATTTTTTTTTTTAAATTTTAGTTGTAGATGGACACAATACCTTTATTYGTTTTTATTTTTATGTGGTGCTGAGGATGGAACCCAGTGCCTCATGCATACTGGGCAAGGGCTCTACCACTGAGCCACAACCCGACCTGGACATTGAGATTTTCAAATGAGCTTTCCAAAGGCTGATGAATGCAAGGATTAAAAAAAAAAAAAAAAAAAAGAAAAGAAAAAAAAAAGGGCTTTGGGAATTTCTCTCATTTCTGTGTTTTCACTTGTTTAAAAAACAGAGAATGAGGCCCATTTCTGCCAGGGACTTCRTTTCATGCAAAGCTATGGAAGAGGAAAGAAAATAGGGCTCAAGTCTGCAAATGATCCTTCTAAGTCCTTTCTCCTTGGAAGAGAGTCATGCTGGGCTTTAAATTAGGAGTGACTTCAGCATAACTTTTGTACATTTGTTTCCAGAAAAGAAATCCACTGCCCCAATTTCCTGATGGGTGAGTTTGGTTTGCAGGGAAATGGTTGAGTAATGCCTTCCAATATTCTTGGAAAATTTGAGAGTAAAGCCTGGGTCTCTCTACTAGGTGTCCTTGGCAGTGATATGGGAGTCTTTGAACAATTTTCAGTATTTTCAAAAGCCTTGTGGTTACTTTTGGCTAACCACTAGCATGGACTCTGCTGTTACAAGATGACCTGAGGTCAGCTGTCTGATAGGCAAGAGAACCGCGTAGATGGTGCATGGGGGGCTCCTGTCCCATCATGTAGGAGGCACCCAAATCTGCAACCATGACGCTGGGACTGATCACTGGTTCTAACCAATGAAAGACTATCCAAATTAACCATTTGGTTACCCTGAAGGGAAAGGCAAGATGAAGAAGAAAGGCCGTCTTTTAAAACTAAATTATAGAAGAGTGAGTGCGGATGCCCTCGGCAGTCACCGTTGATGAAAGGGGATTCTCTGTGTGTCATTAAGAAATTCTCCATTTTTATTTATATGTGCAATTGAATCATTGTCAGTCAGTATCCATTTTAACCCATGAACCTTCAGTCTTAGGACACTGGACGCTCCCTCATGTCCTTCTGTGTGCTTCTGACATGACCACACTGGTTGTAGGTTTCTTTGATTCTCCCAAGACAAGGCATTTCAGACTTGTATATTTTCTGCCCAGGTCTGGAATTAGTCATTTCTTCAAGGAACTCTGACCCGAGACCACAGTCTGGGACCTCAGGAGTGTTTCTGATAATTGGATTGTCATTGTTAATAGGTGGGTTTTTTCCCCCAGTGGATGGAGCTAACAAATCTTTTTTTTTTTAAATATTTTTAGTTGTTGATGGACCATTTTATTTATTTATTTGTATGTGGTGCTGAGACTCGAATCCAGTGCGGCATGCATGCTAGGCAAGTGCGTTACCACTGAGACACAACCCCAGCCCCGACAAATCTGTTTTTTTAAAAATGGATCTATGTGAGGGGCTGGGGTTCTGGTTCAGTGGTAGAGTGTTTACCCAGCACATGTGAAGCACTGAGTTTGATCCTCAGCCCCACATAAAAATAAAATAAAGATTTTGTGTCCACCTAAAACTAAAAAATAAATAAATGAATCTATGTGATATTCAAGATTATTTATGTCTTTAATTTTTTCTCATCTTAAGACTGATTTCTTATTGATACTAACCTAATTACTTATTGGCTTTATCTTATGACAATAGAATTGTGCAAAGTTAACAGCAGCACTATTAATACTAACAATAGGACCACCGAATGAAGTTATGATTTCTTTATGATTAATATTGACCTTAGACTATGTCCCATGAGGYATGTGCAATGAAAATACTACATTTAAAAAAATCTACGTTGGGTTTGGGATTGTAGCTTGGTGGTGCTTGCCTAGCATGTGCGAGGCCCTGGGTTCAATCTCTAGATGCCCTCCCAATCAAAATCAATTGAGGTAGCTAGGCATGGTGGGGCGTGCCTGTAATCCCAGCTACTTGGGAGGCAGAGAAAGACAATCACAAGTTTGAAGCCAGCCTGGGCAACTTAGCAAGACCCTGTCCCATAAAATAAAAAAGGGGCTCAGGGTGTAGCTCAGTGGTAGAGCCTTAGCCTAGCATGCATGAAGCTGTCCTGGGTTCAATTCTTAGTACCACTACCTATTTGATGTATAGAGTGGCTTACTGTTTTCCATGTTTGAAAAAACATATATTGTATATGTTTGTATTATTGTATGTATATATATATATATAATATATATATATATATATATACATACACACACACACACATCTTTCCCCATTTCACACAAAAGATATTTTACCATAAACAATGCTATCTTCCTTTTCTCATGAAAAGCTAGAGATTACTCCATATCAATATAAAGCCATCTTCACTTTTCTTTCTTTCTTTTTCTTTTCTTTTTCACAGTTGCTATAACTGCATTGTATGGGTGACCATCATTTATGAACTTTTGGGTTGTTCCTAAACTTTTGTTATTATAAGTTGTATATCCCTTCTTCAAAACCCTTGGGACCAGAAGTATTTTCGATTTGTTTTGATTTTGTAATGCTTGGGTCTACATGATGAGATATCTTGAACATGTTTAAATTTAAACATGAAATTCATTTTATGTTTTGTATACACCCTTTACCCAGCCTGAAGGTAATGTTACAAAATATTTTCAGTATGCCCGCATTTTGGCTGCTGTCACAGGAGGTCAGATGTGGAATTTTCTGCTTGTGGTGTCATGTCAAAGCATAAAACATTTTGGATTTTAGAGCAGTTTGGACCTCAGTTTTCAGATTAGGGATGGTCACTGTATGGGCAGTGAATACACTTTGCACACATCAGTATTTTGTAAGTGTATCTTGGAGGTACAATGCTAGCAGAGGGGTCAGTGGGTCCCCTGGGAGTGCATATGTCATTTTCCGGCCTTCGCCAAATAGTTTTCTGTACATTTGGCCTTCACTCCAGCAGTGTGTGAGGGTGCTGTTTTTTTTTTCAAAGCCTTACAACAGAATGTGTCATTTTGGATTTTTGCCATTCTCATAGGTGGAACACAGAATCCAGTGTGGCTTTAGTTGGCATTTCTACCCTTATGGTAATGACGGTGAGCATCTCTCTGCTGGTGGTGGTGCAGGACCATAAAGGTCCAGGGACACCAATGACAGGGATGGCTGTGTGACATCCAGCAGCATCTAGCAGCACCATGGTCCTCAGTGGGCCGATGTGGCTCTAGGCTGGGCAGCCTTGCAGCGGGTCCTGTGGCAATCTGTGTGCTACCTCCTGTCTTTGATCATGGCCTTGTTCATCTTAATCACTAGACTGGTTTTTGTGGCTTGTATCTTAAGGACCCCGACTTGCTGTGCCAAGAAATAGACTTGGCAGGGCCACTGAGGGAGGGAGGGAGGCTCTGAGTCCCTTTACCTCCTCTGTAGCCTGGTGAATAGGGAGTTAAAGAGGAGCTTGGCACGTGAGGGGGGGGGGGTTGGCTTTTGGAAGGCACAGTGGTACCGTACCATGGGACTCCGTCACGTGCCATATGACTTACTGCAATTTGATGAATCATATTAGCAATTCGTCTTCTCCAGAAGGAGGGAAAGGAAACTCAGCATAGTGTGGAAAGAGGGCTACACGTCTCTTCTGTGGAACACACACACACACACACACACACACACACATTGCAGGTCAATAAAAACCTAATTTCAGCTGACAGCAAAGAAGCTCACGGATGCTGAAAGACTTGCTGGCTATTGGGAGCAGTTCATGAGACATTCATTTGTTCACTCAGCCACTCAAGTAATATTTATTGAGCACTTGCTAGGTGCCAGCACTGTATGAGGGGCTGAGGATACAATATTGAGCAAGATATGATCTTGATTTGAGTCTGTTATAGGAAGACAGATCACAGGAAGTGAAAATTAAGCCTGACATTGGCCATCACAGGGATAAGCCAGGTGGGATCACGGGGAAGCAGAATAGTTAACAGTCTCACCTCGGGAGTTCTTACTGTATGCCAGGCGCTTTACCTGTGCTCATTTACTTTTAAACAATCCTAAGAGGCAGATCCAGTTTTTAATCCCAGTTTGACAGATGTGGGCTGTAAGGCCTGAGGACCTTCAAGAATTGGCTCCAGAACCCCAAGCCGGACAATGGAAGACTCAGAAATTAGCTCTGTTTTTGATAAATGGGTAGGGATTATTTATACCTTTCCTCATTATCCCTAGCCACTCAAGAGGCCATAATTTTGAAAGATTTCTGCCTGGGAATTGCTCGGCCCCTGTGCTSCGGCTTGCTGGTGGGGCTGCCTGGCACTTTTGAGGGTGAGAATTATGTCAGGCCTTGGGGTGTTTCCAGAGGCAAACTCTGGGTATAGAAAGATAGAAGRAAGAGTGTCTAATGGCACAAGAAGACATTTACTATCTGTTATTCAATTAAAAGGGAATTATAAAAAGAGAATGGACAGTATGTAGTTACAAGTCTAGCTTTTAAAATGATGTATGTGTATGCAGGCAGAGAAAGTATTAGCGGTAGAATTCTCTAGGTCACAGGATATGTGTGTGTGTGTGTGTGTGTGTGTGTGTGTGTGTGTGTGTGTTGCTGGGATTAAACCAAGAGGCACTTTGCCACTAAACTATATCCCTCAGCTCTCTTAGTAATTTTTATTTTTATTTTTTTGGACTGAGGATTGAACCCAGGGGTGTTTAACCCCTGAGCAACATCCCCAGTCCTTTTAAAAAATATTTCATTTAGAGACTTTTATTTAGAGGCTTTGAACTCGCCATCCTCCTGCCTCAGCCTCTGGAGCAGCTGGGATTATAAGCATGTGCTGCCACCATGCCCGGCTCCCTGAGTCACACTAAATTGCTGAGGTTAGCCTTAAACTTGTGGTCCTCCTGCCTCAGCCTCCTGAGTTGTTGGGATTATAGGCATGTGCCATTGCCCCTGGCTAGATGTTAGGATTTAAAGGTTTTTATTATTATTATTATTATTATTGAAATTTTTTTGCTTGTCATAATTTTCTAAATATTTCACAGTTAACGTGACATATTTATATAAGGACAAAAAAATAACACTATATTGATTGATTCTCTTTTACTCTAAGTGATTTCATGTTACCTTAAATATCAGCCACTAACTGGGAAGACGGTTYGAATCAGTTCTAAACTCTCTAGATAAATCCTGATAAACCTGGCATTTTCCAGCTTTTCCTAAGGACTGTGCTACCTTTCTCTGTCCTGATGTCCCATGAGAGCCAGGTGCCAGTGTGTCTCTCATGCGGACCATCAGAACCTGCATGCATGGAGTCTGAGAATCTTCTTGGAAATGTTTCAGGTTGTACCATTTTTGAAAACTGCAAGAGCTGCCGGAATGGCTCGTGGGGRGGCACCCTGGACGACTTCTACGTGAAGGGCTTCTACTGTGCAGAATGCAGAGCCGGCTGGTATGGAGGAGACTGCATGCGTAAGTAGACCCGGAACCAGCTCTGTCGCGAATGCATATGGTTTTACAGTTTCACTGTGCAAGGACTAAAGTTCATCTTGTTGGAATCTGAGTTTTGGAAGGCGTGGGGCCAGCGGGCTTTCTAGGCAAGACTATAAAGCAAAGCTATGTTTCCATCTGCTGGGTTGTGGACATCTGTTCATCCCGGATTGTTGGCCCCGGGAGGTTTCTATCCGCCCTTTGAGCTCGCCTCTCTCCTGGATGAAGCCCAGGCCATCCACACACAGCATGACCCATGTCCCTTCCAGAGGCAGTGGTGGTGGCAATGGCCAGCAAATGTRAATAAGCCTTCAAAAATGTTGTTTTTGCTGGGTGCGGTGGTGCATCCCTGTCATCCCAATGGCTTGGGAGGCTGAGGCTGGAGGATTGTGAGTTCAAAGCCAGCCTCAGCAACTATGCAAGGCCCTCAGCAACTAGGGAGACCCTGTCTCAAAGGGCTGGAGATGTGGCTCAGTGCCCTTGCGTTCAAACCCTGGTACCAAAAAAAAAAAAAAAATTATCTGTAATGCATTTTATTTTTATTTTTTTTT